GACCTACAATTCGAGAAGTGATTGCCAACTTGATAAGTACGTTAACTCATATTCTTATTTTGTTTGGCTTATATTCAATACCAAGAAATGTATGCCTAACTTGGCCTGTTCAATGTATGTACTTTTATAAATCATACGTATAATCAACGAATCATGAATGGCCAGCATATACAATGTGTTAAGATATGAATATATATGTAAACATAAATATAATATCCGCTTAGTTTATTTGATATTGCTGCATAACGCATGTTAAACAGTTGGGTTTTCTTTAATATGTATATATATTCATGCAGTTATTTCTATTATTTTATATACTTAGATTTACAAAATATACATTCCTATTTCATTGTTCTAGCTTTAAAATTAGGAATTACATCTCTATAGTAGGCATAGCATATATAGCCCATTGTCCAGCCGAATAACAAATACTTATGTCCACCTGTGACATACAAAAGGTAAACATGAAATTTCGACGAATTTATATCTATTTTTTCTTACACGTGAAATACATTTAAGATATAATTCACAATCACATATTAATTTCTCACGTTCATTTTAGACTTTTTTTTATCTATTTGAATAGAGTATTACTTAAGAAGTGTTTTAAAAATAAAATAGAAAAGTTTTTTTTTACATACATTTTCCCAAATGTATAAAGTTTAGAGATCACTTATAATATAATCGAGTTTGTTTTACGAGTTTCAAACATGTAATATACATGTTTATTTATAACAGTGTTAGTGGATCATATGTATTATTAACAATGCTAGTGGATTATGTGCATGATTAACAATGCTAGTGAATTATATGCATTATTAACAATACTAGTAGATTATATATGCATTATCTTTTACCCAAGATTTGTGAAAAATACCTTTAAGATATCCGTATTCATGTTTTATGGTTTAAAGCTATTAGTTTTTTATACTCATAAACTCATAAACACTAGGAGTTAAGTTGAATGTATTTCAGGAAACTCATAGTTGATTTTGGTGAGAATATATAGGTGAGCTGCTGATGTGTAATATTATCAGAGTATTATTAATGGAATCGCTTTAATGAAAATCAACCATATTATTCATTAATTCACTTTTAGGTGCAATCATAACTTTCATGTAAGTAGCAAGCGTATGTATTTGAATAACACTGTAATAATAAGAATGTCTCTTCTTCAAATTTCAAGCAGGAAAAACTAGATTTAACTAAAGCTCCTTGAAAAGCGAAACAAGTCAGGCTATTATGATTCGGACCATAGTAAATATTATTTGTTAAGCACAAAGCTGTATAATAGACTATCTGTGCTTTTCTCACAGCAGAGATCCAGCCCCCAATTTTAGAGTTATAATTACCATGCTTACAGTTGAGCCGCCTGGAGTCAAAAATGAATACTAAAATATGACTTCACACGGCGCGAATCCAACTAAGATTTGGGTTTAATCAATCTCTGACTTGACTATGATGCCATAACTTTTATAGTTTGTTTGAAAAGAGTCTATTTCCATTCCTTTCAAAACTTAATAAAACTCAGGCTTTTATCATGTTTATGAATCAGACAATTGTGACTATCGTAGTGCTTTACTGGCAAAAATGGGAGACATGTGATAGTTTTCAAAAACGTTTAATTGTAGTGCTCTTCTGGCAAAAATGGGAGACATGTGATGGTTAAAAAATGTTGTTTTTCATGTTTGAGGTCTCTATCCATAATCTACATAAATTCACGTCAATATACGTGTGTGTGTATCTGTTCTTTATACGTTTCTATATTTCTGGATAAATCACCACCAAACTTGACACAGTGATACAAGATAACATGAGGAAGGTCAGGGGAGGTTTGGACCCCCCTATAATTTCATATCTAATATCGGAAAAGCTACCAATGTTGTATATCCCTCAGCATTAGAATGAACTACGTGACCACTATTGTTAGAGTTCTTGAAAACAGTATGTCTTTTTTAGTGTTGGTACTTTATGTAATTGTATTGCACTTTAAATGTTTGTTATGTTAAGAAAAAATAATAATAGAAGCGCAAGTTCCTATCCTTTGTTACAAATACGTTTAAATTTCACCCGTCCAACGGACGAGTAACTCCAGGTGGTTAAACATATTTTTAGTCATTACATGTTTCTCAGTTTTGCCAATATAGCACTACAATTTTCATAGCACTAAACGATATTTCAACTACTTTCTTGTAAGTTGATATGGAGGACTGAACGTTAAAGGAAAACAATCTCCAAAAATCTAACATATATTGTTATTGTAAAATCCGTAATACGCACACTTATAAGCTGAATAATGTAGGTTTTCAATTTAAGGCAAAATAAATCCTTAATACCTAGAAGTAAGTTTGTCTGTTAATTTGGTAGCCTAGACATAATAACCCCTTAAGGCAGTGATGACGTTATTATGCTTGTTAAACAAATATCATATTTACTAGTTAGGACCAATCAAATGGTTTTGTTTTATTTCAACTTCAACGAAACAGGTTTCAAAACATAATGAATTAGTAATACGTTTATAAAACAACCCACTGCCTAAGGTTACAACAAACAACCAAAGTTAGCATATAATGGAGTAATAAATGAATTGCTGGGGACGATTCATTATCGTGACGTGACTTATACGCAAGATTGAATGAAAATCCTTTTCGTTGCGTTGGTATCCATAATAATTTTTTTCGACTGAAGTATTTTAACATAATCCTTAGGTTACAATTTAATTTGTTATGACTACTACAACGTTTTAAACACACCCTGGAAAGTATAATCCTCTTCGTTGCGTTGGTATTCATAATAATTTCTCTCGACTGAAGTATTTTAACATAATACTTAGGTTTCGATTTAATTTGCTATGACTGCTTCAACGTTTTAAACACACTTTGGAAAGTATGCTCTAAAATATTCATATGAGACTGGCGCCTGAGGCGCTTTTTTTCTTTGTTCTCCTTAGGCAGTGTTTGTTCTATGCGATACGTTTTTCTACAATTGTTTATGCTTGCTTATGTGTTTCTTCGAAGTCATGTTGAAGTAACGCATAAAGTAGCATAACAGTATTCCACTGAATTATTGATATTCACCCTCAGTCACGTATCTGTGTTTGAGAAATATCTAACATTGAATTTTAAGTAGGTACACATCAGAACCGTGATAAACCATCCAAATCGGCAGATGAATCATAGCACAAAACATCTTTAGTTTACCCTTCTTTACTCAGTTATGCTAGTTTTCCCGACAGTTATATATTTTCGTGCCCAAGTGTAACCTACTTGTTTTTCGAGTGGATTAATGCTTATGTATAAATTTCGTCCAATTAAGACACGCTCATAACTTTATATGGTTCTATATAATTGATTTTTTGGTAATATAAAAACGAACAACAAAAACAGTTGTTGTAAGGAAAAATATATATAAATACACCAATCTCAATAACAAATATAGAGCTATTACTTACCCTCAAACAATAAATAAATACTTAAAATGCCTCTAGTATTTCTATAATATAATATAATAAGTTATATTAAGAGGCCTTTTGAACGAAAAAAAAGAATAATAAATGTACTATTTGTGGAAACTTCGTTACATAATGTATACCTTAGCAAAACCAACAACATCGATCACCTCCTTCCTCCCACAAAAAAAACAAAACCCTAAGTATCATACTTTAAGAACAGAGTAAATTATAATTTTTTTAACGATACACTCTACGAAAACCCTACTTATTAGACAAATGAATATCATTTCTTATTGTCACACGTCAGTTTGTACTTCTAAATATAACGCAATCACTTTGGTACAGAAAAACGTAAATACATTTGTGTGAATATAAAGATAGACATTTAAATCACAGTGAATTTGCTACTACTGGGAACAATAAGTTATTGATCACTAAGACCTGACAACAAACATTTATACAATATACATATATGTGTGAAATCATTGTCAAATATAACAAGTTTTTTGTATCAGTGTCTTAAACATTTATTTCATGTGCATTTTAAGAATCACTTAACTTTATGATGTTTTACCAACGACCATGTTATATTAAGACCATTTAATACATTTAACCTGTTTTTGTCACATATAACGCAACTTACAGGACTACACAACGATGGTTATCTATAAGATACACAAAGTATTCTATAATACTCCGTATTTATATACTTGAACTTAGAAGTTGTCACTAATTTATTTTCTACATTCAAATAAGTACAATAGTTTACGAATCTGATAAAAAACAAGATTATTATTCATGTATTTATTATTACAGTTAGGCCTAGCATGACCTAGTGCTTAGGGTGCTCGGCTCACAATCTGTGGGTCGAACTAAACATGCTCGCCCTTTCAGTCGTGGGGACCTTATAACATTACAATTAATATCTCTTTTCTTTGGTAAAAGAGCAGCCCAAGAGTTGGCGGTAGATTGGATTGATTAACTGCCTTTCCTCTAATTTATCACTTCTAAGTTAGGGATGGCTAGGTATATATAATCCTCGAGTAGCTTTGCTCGAAATTCAAGAAACAAACACAACAAATTACCACAGTTTAAGTGAACATTATTACATTATGAGATGAGTGGTTCTAGTGTATGGTTTTCATATTTTTAGTCTAAAACTGATACAAAACCAGGGATGGCTAGGTATATATAATCCTCGAGTCGCTTTGCTCGAAATTCAAGAAACAAACACAACAAATTACCACAGTTTAGGTGAACATTATTACATTATGAGATGAGTGGTTCTAGTGTATGGTTTTAGTCTAAAACTGATACAAAACCAGGGATCATTTGATTCTACGCATATAATTTCCAATCAACAGTAACTTTTCTCGTTTAAGCCTAAGTTCATCAATCTTAGTGAATTAAAGTAAAAACGAGAAGACTGATATTATCTTTCATAAGCACTACTAGCAAAAACTAAGACGTAAAATAAATATGATTAATGAAAAGTAAGGGGTTTATCTCTTGTAATTAATGAACCCCACTCTTTACTGTCTTTTTCTAGGAGCGACGAGAGCTCAGGATGACACCACTTCAACCGACACCGCAATGCCTGACAAACGATCCCTAACAGAAGAAGACAGCGTTGGAGAGTACTGGGGTGTTGAACCATACAATCTTCCTGCTTTTGATAATAGTACGGCAAAAAACGTGTCAACTCAACTTGGTCAAACGGCTTTTCTTCACTGCATTGTTGATAACTTGGGAGATAAAACGGTAAACGTATTTTTGTTTGTCAACTGTCAAATAATGTTTAATGAAACAGGCACTGTGATATCTGATTGACATTTGTACTATCTTTCTCATCTAACGTGCACTTATTGTATCTATGAAAACTGAATTGAGTTGGCTATTTACACCAATATGAGCTATTTCGGCCATGTCAGTAAATTGAACTTACACATGAAATTGAGATTTCAATATCAGATTAGTAACAAGTAACCTTTAACTTTCCAAACAATTTAAGAGTTCGAAACGCTCTGAGAAGGCAAATCATGGTTTAACTATAATCTATTTGAGCGCAGTAAAAACTACCTGACTCTGATTGTTTTCTGTATGATTTTTCTCCATTCTGATTGCACTATTGCATACTTATTTTCATCTCGAACTTCTTTGTGTTAAACTGTAATTGATATTAAGTACACCAAGAGAGAGACTGCCAGTTCTGTGTACTTTGTATCTATTATACTTTGATACAAACATGTAAAACGTTTGCAAATAATCGAAACTTATAACATACTTTCTAGATTTCAGGTTGAAATTCTTAGTAGATATCCGAATGTTGAAACTGGTGTATAGCAGAATAGTTTAATCGATTATTCTTTACTCATGATAAGCATACCTACAAACATGTTTAAAAGCATTACGTTATAACAGTCATAAATAACCTATAACATTAGCTGTCCAAACTATCCCATAAAGTTTCTCTATTTCTCTCTTTATGAGAGAAATGTTTTGAGTGTAGAACTCTACTATTACCACTTTTATCTATAGTCTGCTGGTGAATCTGTCAAGAGATAACCAAGAGAATTTTAATGATTCAAAATTATGACTCAACTCATAATCGGCAGGCTCCAGGGAACTTCATTTTATGAGGGAGTATTAAAACGTCAAAATCACGTAATGAGATTTTACCATGATTTAATGAACTTCTAGATCTAATCGAGACTTTATTTTCATTTCATTACTTGATTTGCGTAATACTTAGAAAGCACAATTTCGAATCATAGAATATTTGAAAGTAATTCAAATATTTTTTGTATTTGGTATGAGTAGATGCTCCAATCATTCACTATACAATATTCGCTCAAAACTTTATATATGTATACACAGTGTTAAAAACTACAGTCCAAACACTTTCTAAGAAAATTTTTATTAAAATGGGTTTTTGTTTCTCATGATGTAATAAATGGAACGGGTATTTAGAGTAAAGTTATTTAAGATTCAATACAGATCTCTTAAAATAATGATGAGAATTTGTAGATTACATATCTCAAACTTTCAGAAGTGATCTAAATTATTTCTTTTCCATATTTTTAACAAAAAAAATATATGGTTATTTTTTAAACAAAATTAGGCTTAGTATGATTGAACTTTTGATAAGTGATTACACGCAAAATAATATAATTATATATAAATAAAATGAATTTTGCTCGAGAAAAATGATAAGTATGGTATTATTATTGTAATATATATCATATATGTAATATTTATCAAGATAAATATAATGTAAAGCCATGTTGCTAAAAATAGGAACTAAGATATAAACGAGCAATAATTCAAACACAAGTGTAATCCGATAAAAATTATACAGAATCCTAAAGTACGACATGGAGTCAGTGTGGTATGTCAGATATCTTGCTTTTGTTTATTACTATTAGTTGCGTATCCAGCTTAAACACATAAGAATGAACAATACCTGACTGGAATAGTACTGAAAATGTATAATAGAAAAAATGCTGAAACTGTCTTATTATATAACTATATTATTTGAGTAGTGCTGTTTGAACTTCTTTCAGTTGGAAATGTAGTTTGAAATTACAAGAATTAGGCTTCACCCGCTGCCTTTGAAACTTCAAATTAATTTGCGTTACAATGAATATCTGAAAAATGCTTATTATTGTGACCAGTTAGAATTGTGACAAACTCAACAATAAACATTAAGTGGCTCCTGTTTCTGACATAAAAGGACACGGAAAACTTTGAGCAACAAAACAGAGGATTCCTTGGAAAAGAATTATTCAAAAGCCAAGGACAGTGGCTTGTTTGTTTCTTTCGCAGAGGTTTTTTTTCTATTGTATATTTAACGTTTTTTCTAAACGGCTTATTAAGTATTTCAACAAGTCAACTGATTTTTATGAAGTTTTTTAACGTCACAGCCTCAGAACGATTGAATTTTATAAAGGAATGGAAAACAATTTCCCAAAAAACCCATAGTTTACACTATTACTAAACACAAAAAGTTCTCTGGAATAACTACAGTATGACATCTTAGTGGCCTGAAACTGATGCTAAAAATATCTTAAGAATTAACTTTATACTATCATTAAACACGAAAAAGGCCTTTAAAGTAACTACTGTCATATTAGTAGCTTGAAACTGATGCTAAAGATATCTTAAGAATTAACTTTATACTATCATTAAACACGAAAAAGGCCTTTAAAGTAACTACATGTCACATTAGGGGCTCGAAACTGATGTTAACATATCTTGGCAATTAAGTTTATTGATAAATTAAACACATATGAAAATACTATATACGTTTATGAGGAATATATTGACTAACCAAATTATTTGTCATAAGCCTATAAATACACGTGAATAAGTACAAAGTAAGTTAGAAATAAGATTTACAAACAAGTACTTAATTAGAGCTTCTGCGCAATACATTTGACCTTTGTTTCTGTTATTTTCTTAAAAAAACGATACATATCTGCTTAGACCACTGTGTTTAAACTTTAAATTATGAAGATGAAATAAGTTTTCTTTTTGTAATTAAGCACAAAGCTACAAAATGGGCTGTCTGTGCTCTGCCCACCACGGGTATCGAAACCCGGTTTCTAGCGTTGTAAGTCCGCAGACATTCCGCTGTTGCTTTATAAGTAATTATATTTGTTGATGCATACATACACACAATTACTCCCTTGGACTGAAATATTTCTAAAACAATAAGTCTGCGTGCTTTAATAAGTTATTTAATAATCTTCTAAATGTTTACTAATTTAAAGTTTCTTTGCTTCGATAAATTCACATAGCTTTTCCATATACAGCGATATCGGCGTAATAATACGTGAAAATCAAACAATATTTACTCTTGCTCATTACTGTTGCTGTAGAAGAAACTAAAAAAAATGGTCCTGTTTAAACAAAAGGTGCCGCAATAGTTGATTGTAATTATAATCATGCTGTAGAAGAAACTAAAAAAATGGTCCTGTTTAAACAAAAGGTGCCGCAATAATTGATTGTAATTATAATCATGCTGTAGAAGAAACTAAAAAAATGGTCCTGTTTAAACAAAAGGTGCCGCAATAATTGATTGTAATTATAATCATGCTGTAGAAGAAACTAAAAAAATGGTCCTGTTTAAACAAAAGGTGCCGCAATAATTGATTGTAATTATAATCATTTCCACAGCTTACTATGGATTTTTTAATCACAAGCAAAACTAATGAAACTTCTTAGACGATGGTTACTGAAAAAAAGACTACTGATCCTGTTAGGGATGAATAGATCAAACTAAGTTTTAAAAAAATTAGGAACTCTTGTAGATTTTTGTTGTATGTATTAAACATTCTAGATTGAGTTGGTGTATGATTTCGTGTTAATTAACAATATGTATCGAAAAACAGTCCGAGTTATTTTGAGAATAATGTTACTGTTGAGGTAGATATATTTATTTCTAATTTTTTATTATTGACTAGTGAGCTGCATTGATATCTATCATATTCGAACCAAACGCCCTTAGAATGAAATTTGCTTCAGAATTGGTAAGATATATTTGTTTATAAACACCATATGAAAACAAACATTACAGAAATACAGAAACTATTTTTGTAATTGTAGTAACGATGTGATGCTTGATTTTATTTAACTATACATTTTAATTTCAAACTTTCCGTTCATATCAGGTTTGCTATAAACGAGCTAAAATCATCTTAACACGGCTGAAAATCTAATAGCGTGTTATCCGTAGCTGTTAAAAACATGTTACTTTTCAAAAATGAACTCAAAATTAAACAATATTTTGTAATCAGAATGCGATATCTAATTTTCAACGCTATATACTAATTCGAATACTAAGCCTATAGATATCTTTCCATTATAATTTATTGATATTATAATAAGTTCCGAAAGCAATGAGTGAACTTGAAGAGCAAGATGCTCGTATTATCTATAGATGTGCTTTTCATGCAAAATAGTTTGCAGCTTCCCATGAAATATTTCATTGAATAATGCATACATATATACATCATATACGCCACTTGCTCGCTAAATAACAAATTCCCTGCCAGGCTATTGCTTGACGTTTGTGAAGTGAGATTAGGGGCTATACGAAGTTATGATATAGTTACGTTACAGAGGCAAAGATTGGAAAGGATTTTCAGCTATAGAAGAAGTAACAACTTCGGAATGGCATCTAAAAATAGATAATGTGGGTGGGAACCGGAAAAATTTAGTGAACTCTTTACCCACTTGACTATGACTGTCATTTCTACATCACACCTTATTTCTTGTACTCTCAGTCGAGATGCACATAGACAGGCAAACACAAGGAAGTGGAATTGTTCACTAACTAACTTTTATCAAGATGCTTGAGTGATTGAAAATGTTTTTCAAATCTTCGTTTCTCGGCACAAGAGAAGGTAGTTCGATTGTACATAATTTTATAAACGAATAAATATTTCTTTGCTGTTTCCTGGAGAAGGTGACAATTTTAAATACACGATTATATTTTTACATACAAGGAAATTAGCGATGAGTAAATTATTAAGAATAATGAGGTAATTAAAGATGTGTTTAATGCTTACAAAAAAAAAGAAAAATCATGCAAATAACTCATGATTAAAATTGTGTTCCAGGAGTATTCGACAAATATATTGAACCTACTTTTGGTCGAATATTACATTTGTTTGTTTGTTTTGAATTTTTGCGCAAAGCTACACGAGGGCTATCTGCACTAGCCGTCCCTAATTTAGCAGTGTAAGACTAGAGAGAAG